CCCCCCCAAAACAGGTCCTGCAACGATCTACCATTACCTACTATTAAATCCTTCCGAGTAGCCCTCCGAAAGAATCGAGGAAAGAATGGGAATTCTGATCAAGACTTTTTACTCAACCTAATAGTAAAAGTGAAATACAACCCAAAAAAGATACCTAACAAGGAACAGCAAAAAGTGTAAGAGCATCGCGGCTCATCATAAAAGTTGGTGAAATTTCAGGCGTCGGCATCAGTCGCAGCAAATATACCAACCAACAAGTAATGTGCAATAAAATGAAATCAATGAAGCATGTAACGCAATAAGCAAGCATATCACCATAACTGATTTATTAGGTAAAGTAAAAGATAATCGTTTTGTCTCTTCACTAGACAAACCACCCTCTCATCCTTCCCCTGAGACTCGCCAGTGGTTTGGGGGAAAGAGAATAAGCAAAGTTATATCCTTTACGTCCCGAGACGATTCGAAATAACACCTTACATTATAAAGTAAACAGACACAGCCCAAAAAACTTCTGAACCCACACCCGATCCCATCGTTCGCGCCATAGAGAACGCATCATTAAACAACCAGAATGGAAACACCATTATAGCCGCCAACTGACTATTCATTGCAAGCAAACGAATTGGATGTATATCTGACTCCTTCAGAAGCTTGAAACAACGATTTAATTAAATCTTTCGCATATAAGTTGTACCATCATAGTTCGCATAACTTACTTTTTTGACCAAAATATTCAGAAGTGAATAGGTAAAGGTGGATAGAAGAGCCGAAAACATGCCAAAAAGAGAAAAAGACAGCTCGGTGGCGGACGCTACCACGACTCCGGCAACAATTGGCAGTAGTGACAAATAAACCTTGAAATAGAACTAAATTTTCAAGAGAACGTCGAGGATGCAACTTTATTCATTCAAAATAACCTGATAGCTCTGCCTTTCTTTGAGAAAAACTCTACTGAGAAGTACAGCAAATAAAGGCATTGATGCTTTCACTAAAATAAATAGGCGGTTACTAAATGACGGAAGTCGAGGAAAGCGCCGAGAACAGCATCACAGTTACAACTTGACTGCGATAAAAAACAAGGTCATAACGGGAGAAAACCCAAGCCCAAACCGAGAAAATGGTAAGAAGTAGTATCCAAAAGATAAAGAATGATCTGGGATAAGTGACCAACCTGTGTGAGCATAAGACACTGGCACTTTCCATAGACTGAAGTACGCACTTACTACAGCTAAAGCCTTTCCTAAACTTCTTGATTCAAGAAAACAAGCAACATTATGTAAACTAGGAATAACACAACTAAATACAATCGTTATTTCTCGCGGCGCCGCAGTTACGGAACCTCACAAAATAAACTGGTATCATATTGAGAGACTGGGTGTGTACCGATTCGTGCGATTCTGGGTGCGCGCGGCAAATGGCACGGCGAAATTCGGTGCAATTTGGACGACTGCAACGCTTAGAATTAGGGCCCAAATTTGAAGCAAAGTAGGTTAGTAAGATTGTCCGACCCTACTAAAGTACTTTACTTCAAGTTTGTACCCCAGTGATAGGCGCCAGAGTTGTTTGGATCATCGCGAATTTCGCCGCGCGCGCCCAGAATCGCACGAATCGTGCGTCCCCCTGAGAGACTAGAACACCCTGTGAACCCAGCTCGTGCTAGTTGTATTATTTTACTACAAATTGCCAACCACGACTAATACGACATGATCATGTTTAGTTACCCTTGAGAATTGATGCTCCAACTGGAAGGAAGCTCGCGGAAACTTTTTTTGAAGTTTGCACGAATGATTCTGTTCAAAAAATAATCGATTCAACAATAAAAGCTCAATTGCTAAAAATGGATCCGTTCAGTCACGTTTTTGCGATAACACCACCCATCGTTGTTCGATCTTTACCATTCAATACCCCTACTTCATACCAAAAAAATCAATAAACTATGAAGCTATAAAGAACTCAACAACACAAGTAACTCACCCGCTGATATCGGAGTGAGATACTTTCTGTACTGCAAAGGCGTCAGCTTTACTACCTTACATTCCCACAAACGTAACAAAGGTATAGAATATATCGGCACCCACATAAGATTTGATAATGCCAACGTCGTCGGATATGGATAATTCTATAAGTGGAAATTGTTCACATACATTATTTTGGAACAATAACGAATCCCAAAATACGAATGCGAAACCGTTAAGTAAACCTGGAGCAGGATTTTATTCGTGATGCTGCTTGCGGAACTGACGACATACCAGCAAAAGCAAATAGCTGCAACGCGTGCCTCGAAGTGGCACGAGGGCGTTAAGGTCAGATGAAACCTCATCCAAACTAAATAATTAATGGTATAAGCGCCAAGGAAGTGTTAGATTCATGAATGAACGGGATAAAAAAGGTCTTTAACACAGTGAAAGTGTAACATGACCAAACTAATTGAACCATAGTTTCGATTTACACTACAAATTAATAAACTATCAACCAGTATCACTGAACACTTTCGCCAGCCACTATACGATTTGCAACGATTTCCATTTTACTTGCAATTGATCTCCAGTGATGGGCGATGGTCTCAACATAAAAAAGTCGTAAGAATTCCACTTACTCAACTGGAAACATCCGTGTGAAAAAATGTACGAACCGGGTTGATGTATACCACACGTTTTTTTCGTTCACTACCTTATCAGCGGCTTTAATCCTTAAACTCAAAGAGCACTTCCCATTCCATGATACTCGCCCAGAAGCGCTAAAAATTGAGCTACATCCCAAGCCAAGTACCAGCCAAACCTTTGAGCATAGTTTAGCAGAAAACATTTTGCTCAGTAGTGTTGAGATTGTTGAAGAGTCTCAAACGAGCACACTTCAACTTTTGAATGAAAAGCGGTTCGAGATGCGCCATGTATTCAGCTACAAAGTAAATCATTAGAAAAGACAAATTAACACTACAACTTGATCCGCTCCTATTGTGTTCCATCATTGTTCTGATGGTAAGGGGGTCCTTCGACTCGGGTAGAGAAACAGTTCCAACAAGGCTGAACAGGATTTCGATGAAGTTCAACAATATAAAATTGGTACGTACTCTACTACCCCCCCCCCCCCCCCCTCCCGAACGATGCAACGATGCAGAGAACACCAATTTGTATTTTCACGAATTTAGCTATCTTTATGAAGCTGCATCTTGTATAACTTCTACAGAAACATCGAATATTGGTAGGAATTTCATAAACATGTGTGCCTTTTCTGAGAGACCTAATATCCACTTGGTCTTGCTAATTTGCACCCTCAACTAACAATGAGAAAGTACAATGTGAACAGAAATGTCAATTCAGGCGGTGGCGGCGATCGTTGGATAAAACACATACGTCAATAGATCCTATCGACAACTAGCCTACGACAAAGCAATAAAGACAGAGCAATACCTTACGTGGTCGAAACCGAAAATATGAATTCACAACAACAAAGTCGAATTTTTTATTTGAAGGAGTTGAATCGGAAAAGTGCTAAATACAATATTTTCTTGCTACTGCCGACTCCATCTCAACTAAGACAAGTAAATGCCAAGACAAGTAAATGGGCGTATTTCACGCGGTAGCCCTTTAGCTTTGCTCAATAACTATCTAATTTTGTAAAATGTTCTGTCAGCTGTCAGACAACCTCGGCTTCTTTTCGAAACTATCTGACTGTTGTTCTCGATTATAGCCATTGTGAGTGGATTGCGCATTATGTGGAATGAAATGTCGATAGGTACCAAGCAAAAAAAAACGAACGCAAACTTCGTTTTTTTACGCTATTGTGGTGAAGTTGAGAAACTACGGCGTAAATGCAAAGACGAGCGAACTTCTTCCATCGGTTATGCTTCTCGAAGCGAACTAGCCATCCATTTTTTCAAGGTTGGCAAATCGAAGAAAATCATAATGAAAACACTTTGTAAAAACGATGCGAAGCTAAAACATTGTGACATCGTGGACGAGAATCTCATTCACTTCATTCATTAAAATATACAGAATGGAAAGTTTTACTTCTTCCCTCGCAGCCCTTTCCTTCCTAGAAAAAGGTCGCGGTGTGCTAAAAAAACGATCCACTTTGAAGCTCACGTTAAGTGTGCATGTTATTCTACTGATATATGAAGGTGATACGATTGGGACCCCCAGAAAGACGTACCAAAGTTTAGGAGTCGAAATCCACAGGGCTATGGCACTAAGATCAATTTGCAGAAACTGAATAATGGCGATGCAAAACTGGATGGTTGCAGTTCGAGTTTCGTCAGCCGAATTTTCCGAAAGTAAATTTATGCTGGAGGTCGCCAATCGATCTACTCGCTAACAACGAATCAGAATTGTTCTGACGTGAAAATGGCTTTCACAATGAAAAGGATTCAGAGACTGTTTTGTGACTTCTTTTACTTACAATTAATCCATGTGAAAGCCACTGGAGCAGCAGTGCTACTTCGCAAGTGTCGGTTCCCAGATCCATCCAAGTTCTTCTAAAACTACGCATCGGTTTCCTATAAGTCGATTCGAGCTGAGCCTTGTTGAAGTTGTGCACACCATCGGGCTCAGCTGAGCAAGGTAAATGACAAGTCTTTGAGTGTTGATCAATCCCGTTTGAGGTATGCGCCCTCGCATTCGACTTCCATTCAGAATCGTAATGGAGTGGTTAATACATGTGTGGTCAATGAGGTCAACAGGGTGGGCCAAAATTATGATTACACAGACATCACATTCCCGAAAACGAAGCTCGAAGAAAGCTAATAACGCAAACTAATCTCAGGAAAGTGTTTATCACTTATCTACTAAAATAGTACATTGAAACTGGGATCTGTGCCTTTTTATTTTCACTCAACCCCAGAGACGATGATAGACGGCGTCGACGGTGGCACCCAGCTGAAATCAACGAATTGATCCTGGCTTTTTGCGAGGCATCTTCGAGATTATTTCGTTCTTGTTTGGGTCAATGCATGCTCCAAGGTTGACCACACTGAGACATCCATGGGGTTTAGATCAGGGCTCCTAAATGGTCACTGATCAAAGGTTGTCGAGTCAAGGATTTCCTTGTACGAAATTTCTTGACAATTTCTGATCTGCGGTCAGGAGCTTCATCTTGAGAATGTGTACGGATTGAATCGCCAAAGTGTCCCAGTTCGCACGACGAGATCGAGCAAGTCCCCAAATAGACTTTCACTCCTTAAAGGCACAGTACACGATTATTTTGTGTGACCCAGATTATGACGAAAAATGGAAGACGAGATGAAAAATAGTGCGATGGAGGCGAAGGAACTGCGCGGATCGGTGTTTCCGAAGAGAAACAGACTCCGAAAAATCGTTAAAAAGCGGCTGGACTAGAATGAGACCAGAAGAATGAAGAAGAGTTGGGCGTTTGGAAGCTACGCGCAGCGCGTCGTTGCGCACCCCTAGTTACAGCAAAAATAGCTCACCTTTTTCAGGGGTAAATGTACATTCGTGCAATTCGAGCTGCGCGCGGCAAATTGCGCGGCAAAATTCATAGCAATTCTGAGAACTTTGGCGCCTAGTGTTGGGACTCAAAGTTGAAGTAGAATAGATTGGCAGGATCAGTTGACCATACTAATCCATTTTACTTCAAGTTTGTGCCCCAATAATAGGCGCCAGAGTCGTTTGAATGGCCACGAACTTCGCCGCGCATTTTGCCGCGCGCAGCTCTAATCGCACGAATGTACCGTCCCCCCTTTTTCAGCCTTTTAGGGTAGGAAATTGAAAAGGGGATCGTAGCAACAAAGAGAATAACAGAGGAAAAAGGAATGGAAGAAAGGCATCGCCCCATCACTCGGCGATCAGCTGTTTGTGTGTGGGTCCTAAAACGAGTATTCGCATTCTGTATTGCCTCGACACTGACGACTGACGTGACATCGATCGAGAGGTGGGAAAGCGAATCAAGACAGCAACAGGGCTCCCACCATGCCCTGACCGTTTCTCTTCTCTTTAGGCTGTTCAATGGGGACATCACTGTCCGATCATGTAAGGGCCTTGCTGTGCAGATGATGCTTCACGATTTTGCGCAGAGAACTTCATGAGATATCCATTCATTCGGCCATTTTGGGACTCGAAGTCAACTTCACTGCTGCGCAGACCTTCGCCCTGCTTCTTTAACACTCCCCCTGAATATATCCATAAGCCTCTTAGATTTACTTCTCCTATCTGCAATTGTTCCCAACTTTCTGAAGTGTCTCATGGTTGAATGTACCACCTGTCTCGTAACATTAATTCGCCTCTAGATGTACCGTGCCAAAAGGGCTTGTAAATGCAAAACGATGATTGATTTACGTTGTTCTGATGCTTGAACTGTTTGTAAAATCTGTCAAAAGTTCAGTATCACTAGAAAGGAAATAATGTAATCTACCTTGTGAAATGGAAGCCGAATGAAATAAGCTTAGAAAAAAGGTAAGAGTGTCTGCGCGCGCTGTACTCATAATTTTGGTCCACCCTGTAGTTAGAGCGTAACAAGGACCTCAAAACCGGCTTAGATGATGTAATGAAGGCGAAATTCACACTAATTTTGGTTCACCCAGGTAATGATGAAAAACGAAAGAGAATGTGGAGAATAGTGCGATGGAGGCGAAGAATGCATGAGAATCGATGGTTCCAAAGAGATAAAGAGTCGTTAATGGCGGAGCTGGACGAGAATGGGCCAAAGAAATGGTGTAGAAGGGATTTTGGGAGTAAGAGTAGAAACTTGGCGATCAGCTGACCGCATACTGAACGTGAGCGTACTGGTGCGAATTCCGCAATCTGCATGGTCTGACATACCATCGGTCGTCGGGCGTGAACTTCGACACATCCTTGCAATGCGCCCTAACATTAAGTTTTTCGTCCCGTCAGCGTCCTTTCTGTTACCCTTGGGTACCACTGGGTAATCCTAGAAGGGAATCGTAGGAACCATTTTAATCTTAATTGTTTAAAATGAAGAGTTCTCACATTTAGAGAGTTATAGAGGCTGTAAAGATTGCGTAATTCGCACCGGAACCCACGGGCTGCTTTCATAGTCCGCCGGCCGGCCGGCGGATTGCGAAAGCAGCCACACGCCGCAGGCAGTCAGCCTAATGAAGCCAGCTGTAGGCAATAGCACACGCATTTGGACATGTCTTTCAATACCACTCCTATCCAAATTTTTTCTCCACATTCTCGCTCGAGCTTGTATAATATTACTTTTTTTGAAGCCTTATACTTCTCCAAATAGGCCGCGCGTATTTCGCTCTTTTGCTTTATTCTGAAGCACCAATCCTAATATTCGTCCAAAACGAGCTACCCAAAACTATCATGAAACGTGCCTTATTGCAAGCATCCCACCTCGAAGCTGGTATGCACGATCTCAGCTATTCGACTCGACGAGGCAGTTAAGAGACTCACTGGGCTTCTGTCTGATTCAACGCGATATCGAGCCTTTTGGCTTCTGCAGGGATCGTCTATCAATGTCAAAGCTACCTTCTCAGGCTTAGACAGCATCTCCAACCTTAACAGTATGCCATAAAATCAAGCCATGTGAGGATTTTCCAATTTCTGAATCACCACCTTGTACAGTTTGAAGAGCTGAATCAAACTGCAACAACGAGGAAATAAACGGCTCAAGGTCTGAATTCGACTTACAATTAGCTCGGATACACATGACAAGAACAATGGCAGGCTATCCGAGAATAGAGAAATAAGATTACTTGGGCAACACCTACCATGGCTCTCCATTTGCCGCAGATATCTGGTGCACCATTTACTCAAGTGGATTTTATGAAAGATACCCCCGCGCAGGTGAATGCAACCCTAAGTAGGA